CCACCCACACCCACACCCACCCACACCCACACCCACCCACACCCACATCCACACCCCACACCCACACCCACACCCTAATTTGTTTAAGGATCGGACTGAATATCCATGCTTATTTTTTCTTTGAATTTTTAAGTTTTTTTTCAGGAGGTCTATAATATTTTTTTTATTGAACAATACAATTGGTCATCTTTCGGATTAACAGTATGTCGACGGATACATGCCATTCTCAACTAATCAATGTGTATCAACGTTTTTTTGTTAATTTTTGGGTGTAGGTGTGGGTGTGGGGTGTAGGTGTGGGTGTGGGGTGTGGGTGTGGGTGTGGGGTGTGGGTGTGGATGTGGGTGTGGGTGTGGGGTGTGGATGTGGGTGTTGATGAAGAGAAGACTAACACCCACACCCGCATTTCATACTAACCAATTATGGTTTTTATTTATCATTTGCTTTCGCAATGGCGGTCTGAAACATCTGAATGAAATTAGTTTAACTGTACGCTGAAATCACCCATATTCAAACGTGCAATAAGGAAGATCTTTAAACGTATGAAAGCATCGATTTACTTCATCATCAACTTTAACTTTATACCAATTTAAATTATCAATCTTAACAACAGATGTTTATGTGACTTAAGTCGGTATCACTGTATAACGTTTCAATGCAAATCTTAACATTAGTGCTTACCTTAATTTGAATTTGTTTCTTAAAGAATCCAATGTTTGTGCTTATTTGGTTTTAAAAATTTCTAAATATTATATACTATATTTTAACGCCCATGTTGTTTCTATAATCGTTCGAGAAGCCAGAAGAAAAAAAAATCAAATACTCTAGAGAATTGTCAACACTCCACTAGAATACGCTTTGAGGTTACATTTCATTCATTATTACTGTTTACCTGAGGCGTTTCCCTTTTGTTGATTTGTTGGTACCTCTTTTACAAACATCTCTAATCGACTCATTCACTGTATAATATTATTTCTTCTTAATATTATACAGCAAAGGTAATCATATTTGCATAAATACTACTAAAACTATATCAATATCTGCGGAGTAGCAAAGTCTTCGTATATGTGCAATAATGATTAATCATACATAAATGCAAAGAGAAAAATATTTCTAATCGATAGGTTATTTAGTTTCATGAATAATCCTTAATATTTTGTGTACCCTCACAGTCCATATCTGAGGTTTCTTATCGCAATTGTATACTTTCAAACAGTTGTCCTTGAATTAAACGCACGGTTGCATTACCCTCTTAGCTACTCCTAAAATCTATAATATATTCTAATATGAAAGATATTTGGCAACCTTTATAATCATTTAGTCATGGTTTAATATATTTGTTGATTAAGAAGAGCAAACTTTGAGCTACATTTATGTTTCCGGTAACTTCGAGCATACATAAAAAGATCAAGCAGAAGATATGGGTGTGGATAAAGAATATCCCAAACACACCATCTACATCCACAGTCGAAGATGATTTCTGAATTATTGTTGAAGAAACTTGGCATTTTTTTATTTTTCTGTAGAAGGTATCTTACAAAAAGAGAAAAAGACTGTGAATGGATGTAGGGTGCGGGCGTGTGAGTGTGTGAAATGTGGATGTGTGGGGTCTGGGTTTGGATGGGTGCGGGTGAAGATTAGAATAAGAGTCCCACCCACACCCACACCCACAGCCATACCCACCCACACCCAAGATAAGTCCTTCATTCAACAGAATGTATTATTGAGCCCACAACATGTAGATCAGAGATCGGCACGGTTCGGTTTCGAAAAAACACGAACCGAACCCATCGAAAAACAGTTTTTCAATGCATTTCTCAGCTTATTTCAAATTTCGGTTCGGTTCGGATCGGTTCGCAAATATTTCGGTTCGGTTCGGTTTTAAAACTTTCGGTTTCGGTTCGGTTCATTTTTCGAAAAACGCGAACAGTGCCCATCTTTGATGTAGATGTATGCACAAATTACGTGATAAAAAATTCTATTACCTAGCAAGATAAATTCTTCAATAATCAGTATTAAAGTAGCTGCATCACGCTGGTCCATAGGGAAAAAAACATTTTCTTATTGTTAAACCAATCTCACTACAAACCCGTTGTTGCGATGTAATTAAACGACCATGATTATATTTTCTTTTATCAAAACAACGTTCGTCAATTTCTACGCTTTGACCTGGTCCTTAAGAGACTATTTCAAATTATTTTTATAAATTATTGATTGAAATTTACCTTGAATTTTTTGTGGAGCATTTGCATAATAAATTGCGCAAATATCGCAGCAGAAGTTTCTCGAGCCAATAATTGTAACGTAGGATATCTTAGGTCAGGATTCTACATTTTTCTGAATGGATTCGCCATACCCTACTCTCCAACTCGGAGATGCAACTCTCCAAGTAGAACCGGATGTGCTCAAAAAAACTAGATCAGTTCCATCTCTGCCTAGAAGAGTTACAATTGGATCTTAAATAAACAAGGATATTCTTATACAAAAATATTAAAAACGCATGAAAACAATAAAAAGCGCATCGACTCCGGTTTCATTAGTAGTTTCTCAGGATGTGGGTGTGGGTGTGAGTTTCGGATGTTACTGTTCTCTTTTTCTAAGCCAACACCCGCACCCACAGCCACAGTCACAGCCACACCCTTTGTCATGCCTTTATAGTTGAACGGTAAGAGCCTTGGTCCGGATAACCAATTATCATGTCATGGGTTCAATTACAGATTGAACCATATCTCTTGTTTTCTGTTTGTTTATCGAAAGTCAACGAAAATAAAAATCAGTATTGTATATATAAATAGCTAACGAATGAAAATTTGGTTTCGTTTTCTTTCATTGTACAATTAAAATGCATATTGTAATATCTTTATCGATCAATAAGCAATATGTAATTAATAAGTATGTGGTTGCATAATCAACAAAATAGCAAATAAAGACGAGAGAGAGAACGAAACATAGTACACAATTTAATCATTTTTCTTTTTATTTTCGATTTGATATTTATTGACTCAATCCAATGCACACGGAAAAAATCTGATGCAGCCAGAGGCAACTATAACGAAAAACGTTGAGAAGAAAAAATACCAAGAATACTTGAAGATTACGTTTATAATTGATTTTTCGTTTCTTTTCTTTCAAAATAATGACGCTGATGGAAGAATTGTAAAATGAAAAACGAAGGGAACGAACGATCAACACAAGACGTTCTTAAACTCGATCTATAGCAACAAGCCAAAAAAAATAGTGGCAATAAAAGAAGGAAGACACAACCGACAGCAAGAGAAAGATTGTGAGGTGTTTTTATTTGTTTTCAACATAAAAGCTTCATAATCAACATCACTATAATAATGGATAAAAAAAAAATAAAACCAAGTACCAGTAGCTCATCATCAGCATCCGCTACAAATAAGTCACAAAACTCATCCACAGGAGCAGCATCAAAAAGTACGAGTAAAAATGCCGTAGTGCCCCAACCTGTTCGCCGAGTTATACAAAATTTCCTCCTGGTTTGGCTAGATGCCAATATTGATGCATCTAACGACGATTTCAAAACGTCAATACAACATTTACAGCATATTGTAGCATCAATAACAACATTCACAAATGCGCAAGAATGTGTCAAATTTCTCAATGATATTAAAAATGAAAAGATATTCATGATTGTATCTGGTACATTAGGGCAGCAAATTGTACCCAAAGTTGAATCATGGCCACAAATTGATTCCATTTATGTTTTTTGTGGAAATAAATCTGTTCATGAACAATGGGCAAAGAAAATACTGAAAATTAAAGGCGTACACACCAAAATTGAACATATTTGTGAAGTACTCAAGATCGATCGAAATCGATGCGATCAAGCCATGATTTCGGTCAGCTTCAATGGTCTCGACCCGCTATTTATGTATACACAATTATTAAAAGAAACACTCTTAGAAATTGAAGACGACGATGCAAAATCAATTAAAGACCTCGTCGACTATTGTCGTCTTCATGAAGATATACCGAAAGACGAAATAAAAAAATTCCAGAGTGAATATCGTGATCATACACCAATCTGGTGGTATACAGCTGAAACTTTTATTTATCCCATGCTGAATCGCGGACTTCGAATAATGGATATCGATATTATACTAAAGATGGGTTTTTTCATTCGGCATTTGCACAATCATATTGCTGAATTACATCGAGAACAACAAAGTAACAAATTGGCAATGCCATCGAACTTTCAAGTTTTTCGAGGACAAGGTTTATCTTTGGAAGATTTCGAAAAAATGAAAAAAACCAATGGAGGGCTTATGTCATTCAATAATTTTCTATCAACGAGTCGAAATCGTGATATTTCATTGAAAATGTTTGCACGACCCGCAGCATTTAATTCGAATTCTGTTGGCATCCTCTTTGTTATGAGCATCGATACGACCATTTGCACTCTATCGTCAACACCTTTTGTCAACGTCATAGATGTTGGCTTCTTTAAAGATAAAGAAGAAGAGATACTTTTCTCAACACATACAATTTTTCGCATCGATCGCATAGAACGAATTCAGGATGATCATACTGATCGCCTATGGCAAGTTAATCTCATCCTTGTGGGTAATCAAGACAAGGATTTTGACAAACTAACGGTACATATGCGCGAAGAGCTCCACGAAGTGGGTACAGGATGGTCGCGACTGGGTCAAATACTCATTAGAGTGGGAGACTTCGAAAAAGCAGGTTATCTCTATCAGCTGCTCCTAGAAAAGGCTTCGTGTGATGAAGATAGAGCACAGTATAATATTCAACTTGGTACGGTGTATGCACAAATGGGCGAATACTCCAAAGCAATTACTTTGTATCAACGATCACTTGAACTCAAGAAAGTAGCTCTTCCTCCGAACCATCCCGACCTAGCTACTTCCTATAACAACATCGGTGCGGTATATGACAGTATGAGCGAGTATTCGAAAGCCCTTTCGTCATACGGAAGATCTCTTGAAATCCGAAAAACATGTCTTCCTGAAAATCATCCAGATTTGGCTAATTCATACAACAACATCGGTTCAGTATATGATAGCATGGGCGACTACGCGAAAGCCCTGTCATCGTATGAAAGATCTTTTGAAATTCGAAAAAACATTCTACCAGCAAATCATCCAGAGTTGGCTAGTTCATACAACAACATTGGTTCAGTGTATTTTAATATGGGCGAGTACTTGAAAGCACTGTCATATTTAGAAAAAACACTGAATATCTTCCAAACATCTCTACCTCCCACACATCCCAATATTGCACTAGTGAAAAATAATATTGATCGAGTAAAAAAGAAAATGTAATTCTCCTTTTGATTCTTTTAACTGAAGAAAATAAAGTATCTTTATCTCTCTTTGTTTTATTGGTTTAATCAAATCTTCTTACGAATACAGATGATGATGCTCACACGCAATCAGGACACACTTCATATGTCATCGCTTCGTACAGTGGACGAAGTCGCCAAAGGTTTGACAAACATACATCTATGTATGTTTCACTTGTACATCCAAGATAATCATTATCTCAAAGGCAAGAAATGAGAATGAGATTGCATGCGTCAGCTATATCTACACGAATGCGTGTTAGGAAGTTGTGCCATCTTCACGCCTGTAGAGCTCGCTAGCAGAACGCCGAATATTCATGGAGAGGCTAATGTGTGTTAGAACTACTCCCGAGCTTCTGGTGTATAGATGGTGTGAAGTAAAAAAATGATAACATATTCACACCCTTCTTTTTATCAGAAAGCTAATATAATATGTAATTTATTGTAATCAAGTAAAATTCTTTATATATTGACACTTGCAGCCAGAATTATAGTGATCTTATGCTTGCATTTCTTCATAAAATCAATGGTTTTTAATTATGCTACACGTTTCGTTTGTATGTTTGTTAAAAAATTTATGAAAACTAGAAATAAAACAAGTAACGCTCGTCGCTTCGACTCGCTTAGCCCTCGACTGAACAAGATATCATATTCAATTTTTCACAGACAATATAGCAATAGAAGTTCACAAAAATTATACGAAAACGCAGAGTACTTTTTGAAAATTCTACTAGAAATTTGTACACATTCTAGAACATTTCTCGATAATGCTGTTGACTATAGAGTTCTCTAGGAAAATAGAAGTTCTGTGGAACCCCTAGCCGAAAATAAAACATATTATATCTGATCTCTAATCGAAATCTGATATATACAACAAGCTCTTATTCAAAGTAGTGATAAGACTAGACAGGTAATTTGAATATATCAATGTACATTCAGATACTTGAATTAATACAAACAAAAACCATATTCCAAAAGAAACATTCTTTTATTTCATTCATGTTCACTACCGATGCAGCGAATATAAATTCTTTCAGTAATACTTTTATTCTGACGAACTATTCAGTTATTTTGTCGAAACATAAAAACCGGTTCTCATCCTTGACTTGACATAGTTTTTTCAACTTTTTGTATCTGATATTCCTTATTCAGTCCCATTTGACTTCGACTATTGACTTTTATTCAATGAATCCCACCACTTCGAAGCGGCACTTCTGGAGATAACCCAGTGCAGCAGCTAGCCGCGAGTGGCGCCCCGGAGGGGCGCCGATGAGTGACTAATTGCTGCCAGGTCTACTCCCATCTTTTCACAACACTATCCCTCTGTATTTTAAATTCACCTGGTCCAGAATTTACTATTTCAAAACTTCGTTAGTCTAAAGCGTTAGAATTATCGATAGGAATTTTCAAACAAAAGTTTTCTCATGAATTATTTCTCATTTCCGCAATATGATTGTAGAACTGAGAAACCAGAATATTCTTTGAGGTTCTCATTAAGGAAATCTTAGTGCACTATTCTTCAAAATGCCTAATCGATACAAAGATCTTTAGTGAGATCAGTCTGTAGTATGCTTGCAATGTTAACGATTAACAGTTCATTGGCGCCCCTTTTGGGGTACCAGCCACGGCTAAGTCCTCCTTTTACATAAGTGCACTTGAACAACAGACTCTTATTGTCCATGTAATACAACAACTACGATATCATTCACATATGCCTTTTCAAAACTATTTTCTTGGAATAACAGTAGCTATACATTGCACATATCAGAATTCCTGAAAACATACCAGGATAAAAGTATCACTTTTCATAATAGTAATTATAGCATATGACAAATTAATGCCAGGTCTCAATGTTAGACCCACGTCTATCCATGTATATATTTCCGCAGATGATAGATTTAAAAACACGAAAGAACCTTTCTTATAAGTATCAAACACGACCAAATTCAATAGCTTATTCACTCTTATCGCGTACATTTAACTAATAAATAGTCAAAAACCATTCCATAGTAACTACAATTGACTCTCTTAATTGATAAATATTTTCATAAGACGAAAACAAACATACAATTTCCAATTATTCTCTTCTTTTTCATACATTTATGCAAAACCGAAAAAGACATATACTGTTTTAGCTGATCATCTACTTCAGCAAATGCACATTCTAAATCCACAAAAAAATATACGAACCGAAAAACTAATTCTTTTCCTTTCAAGTTCGTTTTCGATGGAGTGAATTTAACTGTTTTAATGATGTTTTCCATCCATATATTGTCACTATATTCTATTCTTCGAGAAAAACTGGTCTTAGGATGCATACAAAAATATTTCTCCTTTTTTATCACTTTGAGTCCGTTTTGAAACTCACCAGATCTAACCACTTCACATTCTCTTGTTTAATCTTTCTAATTTAACGCCCTTCAAAATGCAACTGTCGAGTGCACCAGCTAGTCGCTCGTCGGCGCCCCTTTGGGGCGCCACTCGTGACTAGCTGCTGCAACCTATGATCTTCTTCTCCCATAAGATAGTTCTTTTCACTTAAACCCTGTTAAATGACAGATTGCTCTTACTTAGAATATTAGATTTATAACACCATCTCTCCACATGAGCAGCTCCGGACCAACAGTTTCCTGTTATTTATTCCTAATTTCTTTAACCCAATGGTTTAGCCAATACGGTAAAGTTTGATGAGGGCTTCTGGTTTGGAGAATCTTAGTTGATTATTCTTGATAAATGCAGGTTTCACGTAGATCTTTTGCTAAACAACATTAGAATACGTTCGCAATTTTAGCGACCACTAGTTCGCCAACACTTCTCTCAGGCCTTGCTCATAGTCCCTTGTTGCATTCTTGGAATACATTAAAACAATCATTGGTTATTCAGCATTTATCCTACAGACCGTAACTTCATTTACAGGATTCTTTTAATGCTACTTCTCTCGACTTAAGCAGAGTGCTCTCAAAAAAGGCCACTTAACTCACAAACCACTATGAATAATCATGAATCCCACAATGTTGCACACATTAGACTGAGTGCCAATGGTTTGTAAACACTGTTTCATCACACTACGACTTACTGAAACACTCACCCCATTAGATCACACTCTGATTCATGTCTACAACGATACTATGAAGAGGCTACCGAAACTAAACAGCAATTACAAACTCCAAATACGCAGAAGGATTGTCCGTATTTCGGGTTTCCAATTTTTCAAATGCCTTTTGCTTTAAAAGAATTGACTTTTTCCTTAGACAAAAATTCAGATAAAAAAGGATGATTTGTCTCATACAAAAAACTACTTGAGTTTTTGAACAGCTGACTTGAGATTCGGGTTCTCCGACCTGGATTTGCTTTCGTCAACCTTTATAAAATATCGTTATTTTCTCAAAAACCCCTTTTCTTGACCCTAAAAACCCGATTCAAAATTTCTAGAAACTGACTTCAGATTCGAATTCTCCGACCCCGATGTCCTATCGTCAACCTTTATAAAATATCATTATTTTCTCAAAAAATCCTTTCCTTCATCCAAAAATTTGAATTCAAAATTTTGAAAAACTGACTTCAGATTCGGGTTCTTTGGCCCCGATTTACTTTTGTCAACGTTTAGAGGAAAGAACTTTTTCTGATTGGTCGAAAGCCCGATATCGAAAACATCTCATTGGCTGAAACTATGGGCTGAATAATGTGATTGGTCGAAAGCCTCAAAGCGCAAACTTCTTTAAGCGTATGTTTTTTTGACCCCGAGGTTCTTTTAACCCTAATGTTCTTTTGGCCTGACGACAAGCAAGCAAGCAAGCAAACTCTTTTTTTTCATATGACCCTTCCTTCAGTCGAGGGAATACCAAAGTTTGATCAAAATGGCCAAAAGTCTTAAAATAAAAAAGCTCAT